AATTTAAGATTTTCTAATTTAATCTTATCTTATTCTTTTATATATACTAATTATAATATTAAGAATTATTTCTTAATAAATAATAGTAACTAAGTTCGCTCTTTCTTAATCCGGCATGCGTGCGCCCGATAAATCTGGAGCCGGTCGCTCCGATCGGGATTTGACTCTCTCGTTCGAAAAGCAGTTGGGAAGGCGCCAACGATCTCGGCCCTCCTCTCCGACCGAGCCCCGACATCCTGATTGCATTACATTACGATTCTCACTGTTGAATCGAGCTCGTCTTTCTTGCGGTTTGGATGTTGCAATATTTCTATCAGAACCAGCACTCTCATGTTATTCAGTCTCTGCGATCTTCTCGACGCCTACCCATTCAACATGCACGCCCACTTTCTCAGTGAGTCACCAAGCAGCCGGTCACCAGAAGTCGATGGGACACATCCCAGCCTTTCCAGATACAGTCTATAGCTCTGCGGTGAGACGGAAAGTTGGTATCTGCGTGCCTGCCTCGCATTTGCCCATCACTGACATTCACCCAGTCAGCGATACAGACCACCGCATAGACTCGTTCTCGATATCCGAGCAACGAGTACACCAACGGCGATGTGGGATCTGCACCCATTTGGCATGAGAGCTCCACCGTACGGAAACTCACTACACTCCTCAGCCTACCGTGATATGCATGCAGACTGCCAGAGCTCCGAAAAAGATCACTCGAGAATACTCGTGCTGTCCAGAAGTGAGTTATCTGATAGAGCGAGGATATCAATAGATTAAGCGACATCCGGCTAAGGGGAAGGATTTATTGGTGTCCTCGCTCTATCAAAGAACTCACTTCTGGACAGCACGAGTACAGCATCTCCGGTCGCGAACCAACATCCTCCCCACATCATCCGACACCTCCACCTACACCGCTTCCCCTTATACAAACCCTTTCTTGGAGACGCACCGCCACAGTGCAATGCCCATTGGTCTCTTGTTCGGATACTCAGAGTCGGAACATCCTTACAAATCCCCATCTGATGTCAGCATCCACGTCCTGCCCCAGTCGTGTCTCCAAACAGTCCACTGCCGCAACGCGCTACCATACACCCTAGGCCCAAACCCCGGTTCAATGACACAAACTGTCGTATGTCTCCGGTCGCACTCACCCTCATCCCATACATCGCACCGAAGTCACTCATTGCTCGACCGACGTTCGACAAAGTGGGGATTGATCACAGTGTGGGCAACGGTATCAGTGTATCTGTGTAACGGCCGTCTGAAGCCCCTTCCGTTAGCCGCCATACCAACCCACATGCTCATGACCCATGGAGTCGAGGATATGTCCTCGCAGGCGAAGCGTATACCCCACCTTCGTCTCGGTTTCGGTATCAGTCGGCGGTCAGCTTCCGCAAAATATTGAGCTGCGATCGGAAGAGACCGGCGATGCACACTTGCATAGTGGTTAGGCATATCGATGCGGTCGGCTGGTGCCCAGATCGGAGCAAGTCGAAAGGACTGGGATGACGTAAAATTTCCATCAAGGCGGATAGTTGTATTGGTCGGTGGCAGGCATTCCCGTATGACCTTGTGCGCTTCAAATCCCAGAATCACCGCGGACTCGGGTTGGGGATGGGCATTGCTATTGTCGCATCGCGTATGGTTCAATGAAAGGCTTCGGCACCTCTTTGTCATTGCAGTTGATTGACGCGATGGAGCTGGACTGCGAATGTGGTGTTCCTGATAGACATATTGCAGTCTTTCCTCGTCCTGTATAGATGCATCATGACATTCGACCATTCCAAACATGCGCATGTTTACCAGCCATGCGCTATAGACTTGTGCGCCATGGGGTAGACACGGTTTTCGGCGCAGGTGTTGATCCCTCCTGAATGATGCCCCATCCATGCACCCCGACCGACAGACCACCAACTCATGTCTTCCAACCGCAAGCCTACGTTAAGCAATTGGCGTAAACCGTCAACGGTTTGCTTAAGCGGTGTAATATGTGGATCGACCACAGTTCGAAATGAATATCGGCGGTAGTACTCCTGTCACAGTCCTATATCCGCATGACCTCGCAGTCCACCCCACGCCCGATCGGCATCCTCTTCGTCCTATTAACTGTTGATGTCACCCTTCGCCCTTATAAGGATCTGATGTTCCATCAGAGATGATGCTGTTCTATATTTAGACGCTACCGCAACCATACGACGTTCGGCTGGGTCTGACGAAACCAGGGCTAAATCCTCACCAAACGATCTTGTCCCGGACACACATCATACGTGTTGCGATGGACTTGAGTTGAGATCGGACGAGGTCCCCTATCCGGATGGAACACCACCGCACCGCCAACTATTGGTTTTCCACATACTCAAAGGGCAGCATTGGAGCAGAGGTTGCATGCTCAGCTCACCGCTTTATCGTATAAAGTCGCCCGCAACTGCATGCGCCCGTGTGGCGTGACGCAACAGAAGACGGTCGATGGGAATGTCAGCTTGGCTTTGTCGCGACCATGTTATGACCATTGTCTTACTGATCAGGAATCCGCCTTTCGATTGAGTCTTGCTCATCTTGATATCTTCAAGTCATAAATGTGGTAATTATATACGTCCTATGATGACACTATCCATGCTCCCTACTCGGTTTGCCAGACGCTCATCGACAGCCTTACTTCTATGCACGCACACCCTTAACAGAGTAAGTCTTACAGTTTATGGTCCTGTTTTTTCCCGCCGGATATCCCCCCCCGTTCCACGGGGTTGAGCAGTCCACCTATTTCATCACGTACACCTCTACTCAGTTCCCGACCATGCAAACTTTCTCTCCACGGGCGCCAGACCAATATAACGCATAGACATGCGGATACGGTAGCAACGGTCGGCCCTTTTTTTTCCGCATCAAAGGACTAATACGATCGGTTATCTATAGAGGGTATGCTGAGGCAGGATTCGGTCATGGTAGCAGCGTACGCTCGGAAGATGACCTCGACCTAGTTTAGACCGGAGACTGACGATTCCGTGGGGCGGGAGGAAACCCATGGGAAGTCACAACGGTGGTCCATATCGCCATCTGTTTCCCCCCACTCATTATAACGGCGTCCGCTCTCACTAAACATGTTCGTATCAATGACCTAATATCAGCGTCGGATTCCGCAGGTGTACCCAGAGCTGGTCCTCCCGGTTGTCCGCGCCCCTAACCACATGATTCCCCACATCACCTTATATAGCCCGTCGTATGCACTACCCTGTCAACGACGGAATGTATACGCCATGGTATAATGTCATCGATGGATGTTTTGACTACACTTGCATTCAGTCTCGTGCGGGGCTACTCCCGTCTGCGCACGAGACATGGACCACGAACGATATGAAAGTCGTTGGAATGCTGAATGTCAATACCTAACAGAGTATTGACGGATGCCCTCTCCTATCCACCCGAACAGCAATTCCATGTTTTTGGTCCACTGCCGTCATTGGCCACTGACGAAGAACCACCTGTCGCAATTTCGTCGCGTGCAACCTAACAGGAGTGTCCCTGACATCCGTAGCCGGGCGAAATGAATCTCATGCCATGTGCACCATATCCGCCACTGTGGCATGTGTTCGTTATGGCGGTGAAGCTGATGAGGTGATCACTGCATCTCAGATCCTCGTAACAGGTCCTCCTGTGCACCCGTCGATTGTCTTCGACAGCGAACGTGTGTCGTGTTGGTTGTAGGTGCCTTTGCGGACAGTGTGATGCAATGTTACCCGGACAGGCATTATTCCTCCATTTTGGTCTCTGTGACTTATACTTCATGTCAATGCATCCAGTATGCTCTGAATGCCTTTCCGAAGCCTTTTTAGATCCCGGTTTAATGGGTTTGGCGGATTGCGACCGTGGAAAGTGGTGGAGTCGCCTGTCGCCGAGACCATCTTGCCTCCCAACATCACCAATACTGCTCAGAACAGCAAATAGAAAGCGGAGTGTGACGTTGCATACCCAGAATACCATTATACCGACCGGTAGCATCTCCGTTGAGTGATGTTGACCCATGATTCTGACTCCATCGAGGCATCCATCTCCCCGTCACACCCTTTCTTACTTGACGTCAACGAGTGCAATTGAACTTCCAGAGCCAGAACACATTCTTTCAGTCCGTGAGCGTCCCGCGCATATCTTCCAGCATCGGTATCGTCCGTCCGTGTGGTATCTCTGCCTTCCACAACTGCACTCTACAACCACATCCTGTCTACAAGTTCTGCACATTCACTCTACTGTATTATTTCCTCGCTCTCTCTATTCTATGCAATTCGAAGTACTCTCTTCCACATCATACAATGGGAAGTACTCTTGTCTACACCATACAATTGGAAGTACTCTCTTCTCCTTACTATCCACCCACCCGCCCGCACCATCTCCCCTAGGTCCTCCAACACCTATAAACTTACTAACTCTTCGGGTACAACCCTCGTTACAATAGCAAGCGAACAAGCAAGCATCGGATTCAGCGTACCAAAAGTGTGTTATGAGAGGACGGTGCTACTGGTGATAAGCCTTCCGTGGGGTCAGCCGCCTGGTTACGTCCGAAGATAAACGATGTGTTACCTGAAGTCGTCGCTCATGTGGCTCTGAAGTAGTAGCTAATGATATATTTGAGAGGGGTTTTGACCGAGGGTGTTGCCTGCGTGTTCGCTGAGGTAGTAGCCGAGGAACTCGCCGATGGGGTATTCGAGGGGTCGATATCTAAATATGTTGCGGGTACAGTCGTTAATGGAGTAATCGAAAGAGCATGTGAGGGGTTATTGCCCAAGATGTTGCGTGAAGTCAAGGGTGTAAGTCTCTTGAGAAATAACCATTCTTCCAGAGTAGCAACCAATCTATCACTGAGTCCATGGTTCTCTCTACCAATTATCGCGAAAATGGTTTCATATCATTACCGAGTATCAACGAGAGATGTAAATGCGACCTTTTGTCTCTCTGGCTATATCGTCTGCTATGTACATTTCAAAGCCATATTTTCTGCCGTTACGGAATCGCTATACAGGTATGATGCCTCCAAAATCCCCGGTCCCCACATGACCCTTTTTACCGTCGTACACCTCGAATGCCATTCCAAAGTACCCATACATGCTGGTAAACAACGCGATACCTCTCAAAGTCGACACCACTGATGCGTAGGTCATGCGGAAAGATGGTGCAGCGAAGTCGTGCACGTTTATAACGACGTTGCCATACTTGTACTCGACCCGATTTAAGGGCAGGAAGCCGTCTCCTCCCTTTGCGAGTACAGCGCCGAAGAGGTATCCGATGCCTTCAATGACGCAAAGGTCAAGCTCCGTTTGCGATATAACTTTGGTAAATCTGGAGAAAACGAGGCTGGTTTGGGTGCCTGGGATGTAGAAGATAATGGTGTTGTTGAGCGGAGATACGTTCTGCGGACCGGACGCGTTTATGGGTGCCCTGTATGTTCAGTAGACGTCCGCGCAAAGTCTGGCTGACTCGCCACTACTCACACTTGGTATATGGTTCCAATTGGTTGATCCAGTGCGATGTTGACGGGAAGGGTTGATGCGTAAGCTAATGTCCCAAAAAGGGTATATGCTAGGAGGATCAGCAGGAACCGGGACGCCATGATGTTAAGTATTGACCAAAGCAACAATGCAGATAGAGGAAGAGAAAATCTTTGCGGGTTTGAGTCGCAATGTAGAGGTACAAGGGCCGTTCACCTTTGATTGAAAGCGACTTGCGACTTGCGACTAGCGCAGCCCACACCTTTAGATGGGAGCGGCTGTGGTAGGCTGAATCTGCACAGTGAGATCTTTGTAAGGTCATATTGCACATCTGAATGCCTATTCTTCGCATAGTCTCCAACGGAGATTCACCCGAAATAATCTTTCCTATAACAATCTACAGCTCTGCTCACTAGCGATACTGTGCGTTACATTACGAATAATCTTCATTCAATGCTGCGCCTTTGGAGCATAATCCTACTACGATCGCACCCTTTCTACTGCCGCACATCTAGACCTCCTGGGATGTAATTCGAGGCCCGGCATTTGTGCGGAGACAGGATCATTGCCCAGCATGAAATCCAACAGATGGAGACCTGCAGTCTTCGTTTTGCTTCATATCTTGCAAATTGCTTATGTCTTCACATTCCAGGAAATCAGGCGTCCGCGCAGTATTACAGCACCGACGCTTGGGCAAAATAACAGTACATTATTATCGTCAATTGCAGGGTAAGCTTAGTTATATGCTTGGATTTGGACAAGGTCAACGAACGCATGTACCAGATCTGGAAGACCCCACACGCCCCCCCGGACCCATGGACCTACATGGGCCCAAAAGCCCGCTACGAATTCTCCAACTACCGCAACCCTAGCATCAAATCTAACTGGCCGGCGACCTTCCTGTTGGCCTGCCTGGGTGACATCTTCGATGCGATCGCAACCCAAGTCTTCAGACCGGACGAGCCTTACCCGGACGGAACCTAAACTGTCATCTGGATTACGTCTCTCCGTCTGGATCAAGAGGGGATTTTGCACTCGAAATAACAAAGATAGAGACGCCGGTTTGGTACATGACCTTCTCCGACATCGCGGATGATCTGGAAGCGCTTTGGTATGCTGCGCTGTGGTTTGAAGAAAGGGCCGCTGGTGTTCCGGGAATGGATTTCAATGTGTACCAATTTGATCAAAAGAGTTCTGGTGCTAGGGGCTCTTCTTTCCTGGCGTCTCGTGGTAACTTTTCATTCGCACTCATCGGCGAGGCCAACGTGGGTAACGCATAAGTATAGTTTGTCTTAAACGATAGGTCCGTCGGAGGGTTAGACAGGCGCGTCACGGCGTCTTTTTGCCACTCGCTCCTTGAGTAGTTCACCAACCTTTCGAAATGGAATCGGCTTGGTCAGGTATTCGTCGAAACCGCATTTCGTGGCTTCCTCCCGATCGCGACTCGCACCGAGACCGGTGAGAGCCACAATGTATGAGCGGGTGTCTTTTCGCGATCCTTGACTGAACTGTGGCTCATCATGTTCCTTCTCATCGGCGGCGCCCTCGGTTTCAAACCGGCGTATCTTTCTTGTCGCCTCGAACCCGTCCATTCCAGGCATGGAGATATCCATGAATACGACATCGTACGGTTCAGCTGCCTTCTGGACCGCTTCCACAGCCTCGAACCCATCGCGCGCACTGTGGATAAAGTCATCTTTCCGCTTTGAAAGGAAGCGTTGTAGGAGTTGCAAATTGATTTCATTGTCATCCACAGCTAAGATTCGCAATCCTCCATTGGGTTTTCCCTCTTGATTGGCCTTGTTGCGTGACGAGGTAGCATCTGTATGTCCGACTTTTATCGAATTGAATCTTTGTACCAAATCGCCCTCAAATTCGTTGGCAGCAGGCCGCTGAGGATCTGAGATGACCGACAGTTGTTGGGGCCGTTCTTTTGGTCGTTGGTTGTCGTTCTCATTTCCAACCAAAGGAACAGGTTCCGCAGGACCTGGAATGACCATCTCCGTACGTGGCTGAAGTATAGACAGTAGGTGCCGCGCGAGTTTGTACGGCCCAATGGGACGGGTAACATGCCCGACAACCGTCCCAGCCGGATAGCGTTTATGACCCTTTGACGTAAGAGTCCCGTTGAGTAGAAGTGTCGGAATCTGTTGATTCCCCAGGTGAGACAACGCCGAAGTGGTGCAAGGCTCGTGGGCCTCCAAAGCGATCACCACGTCTGCGTTTGGTATGGTACCCCAGTCGGCGAAAGCGGTCACCGTAAACCCATACCAATCCGACATGTAGTTCCCGACGTGATTCAAAATGATGTCCTGACCGTTGGCAGCATCTCCACGCATATTCGGAGGTCGCTGGAGCGCGACGGTCCTTCCGACGGCAACCTTCTTGAGTGATTCCAATGTGTCATCGGCACCTTGAGGGTTTCCAATGCTGGATTCTGGAATATCACTTCCGTGTGAACGCTCCGGCTTTTCCATTGGAAGGCAGATTTCGACTTCTGTCCCTTTGCCTTGTTGACTGCGCACCGCAATGACACCTCCCAGCTGTTGAACAATGCTCCAACTAAACTTTGTCAGCAGGTAACATGGCTCCCGTTGAACCAGATAGACTCACACGATGGAGAGTCCCAGGCCAACCCCGGAAGCGAAGGTGTCGTCTTGCGCGAAAGGGGTATAGAGTCTGTGCCGAAGATACTCATTCGATATGCCACGTCCAGAGTCTTTGACCGTCAAAGAGACTGCGCATTTCTCAGCAGACATACCCTTGAGTCCTCTTGCACGCGCCCTGATCGGGTCCTCCGCTCGGAGAGAGATCTGTATGAAGCCATTGTCGGTGTACTTTTGTGCGTTACCGAATATGTTCATGATGATTCGACGAAGGGCTCCGGGCTGTGTAAGGAATCGCCAATCTTGCTCCTCAAAGTCCATGACGACCTCTACCGGCTTCCCCAAGGCCTTGACCACCTGTGACAAAGGTCGAGGCCCTCTGGGCAAATCACCAGAGGCCGTGATGTCATCAAAATTCTTCGCGACGACCATGCCGTCGACAACCTCTTCACATAGAATCGCCATGTTTGTAACGGAATGCAATTCGTTCGGCAACGGTCGGCCTTGTCCGGAAGTGGATTTGGATGCTTCGAAAGAATTGATTTTGCTGAATTCAAATACGTGATTGATGGTTTCGAGTAAAGTACGGCCACAGTTTTGAACGGTCGATATCAACTCCGACCGCGTTTCGTCATCGGTCAGCTCCCGCAAGAATTCGGCACTCGCAAGGATGCCATGCAGAGGGCTTCGAAACTCGTGTGATATGCTGCTGATAAAGTCCGCTTTGGCTTGGTCCGCCCTGATGACATCGAGGCGGCTGATCTCCATGGTGACCGAGTTTGTAAATGCGGCAAGGTATGCAATCTCCGAGTGGACGGTGAACACCGGTACCGCGGAGTGGCTCCATACCAAACAGCCGGCGTACCATCTTTTGGTGGCTGCGTCCCACATGGGAAGGAAAACGATTTGTCGAGAGCTTTCAAATTTCCGTCTCAACAACGTGGCTTCGGCAATCTCTTCAGACATTCGTTTTTTCACGTCAACCCGGTGGCGGCCGGATTCACTTGACCTGTCTTGGACGTCGTGCAGCTCAACCTGCTCCAAAGACGAGAAGTAGTCTCCTTTGTCGAAATACCAAACGTTGCCTTTGGGGTACATATTGAGCAAGGTCTGAAGGGTCTTACAGTCCAGTACATTCTTTGCGGGTTGGGCGGGCTGATGTTCCGTGCTCGTCGACATTGCCATGATTTCAGCGGCAGGGTTGCGATCGTCAGAGCTTCTGATTCGCCCCTCATGTGGTTCCGGGTCGGAAGACGAGTGGGCCGCTTGAGGGAGCTCTCGGTTGTGCCGGAAGACGGACCCGTCATCTTTTCCATCCGCGGCCTCGGTGCTCTGTGCGATTGAAGTATTCGGGTCGGAGTATGCGTCCGTATAGCCGGCTTCGCTGAAACCGACAGCGGTGTCGAGAAACATGACTCCACCCGACTCGATCTCCAGCGACTCCCGTAGGATGATGGCGGCGCTCTCGAGTGTACGTTTGACCGGGTCTTTGGTCTGCGCGGCTGGTCTTTCCGAATCCTCTTGAACACGTCCTTTCCCGTTGAGTACATGTTCCGTATCCGATGATGCTCGAGTCTTGGGTTCATCATCACCGTCACGGGACTTGCTCTCAAGGAACCGTGCTATACCGTGGCTCATCAGAGAGACGCGTCTCCTCTCCGCAGCCTCCCGGTGCATCTCCAAATGTTTCATGACGCTTGCCGCTGATTGGCGCATAACTGTAGTCGAGTCAACATATCGATCGGACCGATGATGAGTGGTACGAACCTCTCCGCTGCTCCATATTTAGACCTTCAGGTCGTGGGTTGATGTCCAACAAGAAGAAAGACCCGATCTTTACCCCACGGCTTGTAGCGATGGGAGTGCCAGCATAGAACCGGTAGGCAGCGACGGAGCCATTGACGAATGGGAGATGGCAAAATCTCTCATCCTCCAACAGATCCTCGACCACGAGGCACGGGTACTCCGATGTGGAGTCGTCCGCCGCAACCGTATATTGACATATGCTCTCCCGCATTGATACCTCGGAGCATCCGAACCAATCCGCGTGTCCATTCACATTCTTCCCATCCAGCTCTGCACCCGCCAAGAAGTATTGCGTCTCCCCATCGATCAAACTATAGGTACGCTCAGCATTCTTCAACGGACGTAATCATCTCGGGCCTCCTGACCTGACCATCGCCCTTTTGGCCCCCAGGCGCCATGCCGCAGTCTCGGCGAAAGATACGAGTGCATCGTCGTTTTGCAAGGAGACATTGAAACCGCTATTGGGGGCATGGCTGCCTTTTGAGGGAGCGAAGAACCTGCACGCCACGGTCGGATCAGATCAAGGAGGCACAAGGAGGATTTTGCCTCGGATTCACGTAGCAACGTACTTTCGAAGTTCTTGAGAACGTTGACTTTGAGTTGGACCTCCAACCAATGGCATCGTGGAACGAGCGGACGCGACCTTGCTCTTGGGGTTGGATGCTACTGGCGAATGCCGTCTCTTCCAGGGCGTGGGCGCGCATTGGGGTCCTGCAGCCGTCGGAAACACATTGGAAGGTTCGAGAGGGGGGGGCTTGAAGAGGGTGAGGATTTTGAAATGTCAGGTGTCGTCGTGCTTTGATCGAGTCGAGAACATCAACAAGATCGCCACTAATCACGATCCGATGAAGCGGCACTGAAGCCGCGACAAGCGCTGAAACACTCGTCTTCAACACTAAAATAGCTCAATACCAATTATACGCCTAGTGTGCCTCAAGGTCCTCATTTTCAACAGCCTTCTCGTTCGTTCATCCCACCCTACCAAACCCGGCTGTAATGCAGATATTCATACTCTTCGCGTCTTTTACGTGGGGGCAGCAGCAGACCTGGGGAGAGCACCGGCAACCCATCTTCTGGGGTCGTTGGAGAGATACTTTATGATATAAACATCCCCTCAATTACTATCAATCACGAAATCCTTGTCCCGTCTTTGACGCAGGTCTATACTTAAAGACATCGGGATCAAATGTCTTTTGGCGCTCTTCGTCGCAACGCCCGAGACCGGGAACTGATATCCACCGATAGTCGGACGACTACACGTACATTCGAGAAGTGAGCTACGTAATATTTGGGTCTTGGCATTAGCCAAAGCTCTTAGGGGTCTCCCGCCACTACTAAGCGAGGTAGTTTTCGAATGTACGACTACAGCCTCCAGTCACCACTCATCTCATACAGATTGCTCCACCTGTATTGATCCAGGATCAGGTATGCAGCTCTCGTTTATTGGCCGGACCATCTCCGAATGCACATCGTGTCCCAGCGAGCCTAATGTCGCCGGATGCTGCCGGTTCCCGGCCAACGCGGAGGAGCGTCAACATCTCTCGGAATGCATTGATGCTGGTTGCGCCGAGCCGGTTTGCGATGAGTGCACTCATCACGAAGAGTGGTGCGACGATTGCCTCGGGGACTGCGGGTCAGATTGTGGAACTTCATTTGGCTGCGACGAGCTTGACATCAGGGTTGATGATACCTACATCTTTGATGGCTCTCACTCTGAACTCTTCGGTGATCAAACAGCGCAAACTTTCGGCTTTGGCTGCCGTCTTCCCCGGCTGGCAATGGACAACACGATTACCGAATCGGCTAATTTTGGCAAAACCCTTGACGATACCAGGTCATCTACACTTCCTGCATATAATATGAATCAGAGCTATCCGGGCTCTAAAATGCAGTCGTATCCTTCTTTCCAGACTCCTTGTGCGCCTCACACACCACTCAATGCGCCGGAAGCCACAACACCCAGCGGAGCAAGCTATGAGTCCGACTTTCTGGGACCACGCAACCATGAGCTCGCACCCGCCAATGTCTCACCCCTCGCACGTAACAGTGATCCTCTCACATACACGTCAGACTCTACTCATGATAGCCCAGACCCGATGGACTTTTCACCAAGTGCTCATTACGATCACGTCAACCTGCTCACCGAGGAGTGTGATCCCACGAGACCGTCCCATCCTTCGTTACGCTGCCAATGGGCTGACCCGAACGGAAAGCCATGCGGGAAGAACTTGCGACTGGGTAACGACATGCATGAACACTTGAAATCCGCTCATGGAGTCAAGAGTGGAGTCTTCTGCCGCTGGGTCGGCTGTACCGTCGGTGTCTTCGGGGCATCTTTGCACAAGTTTGCCAGCAGTGTCGAACGCCATACATGGGGTCACAGTGGTTATCGTCCTTACAAGTGCTCGGCATGCAATGAAGGTTTCGCTGCGGCCAGTGTCCGCGATGAGCATTACACGAATATCCATTTACGCAAAAAGGTCTTCTCTTGTGACTTGTGTCCTCACCAATGCACAAGCGCTACCAACCTGAAGAGGCACAAGGACGACAAGCACAGCGCAGATAGATTCCAGTGCGAATTCTGTAATCGAAACGACAAGCGAAGACTCTTTCCTCGCGGACCGAATCTAGCACGCCATTTCCGAAACTGCAAGTACGTGCAGGCGCAGTTCCCAGAGGCTGCTGCCGCAGGAAAAGCGAAAGCTGATTGGCTGCCACCCGGTTACAAGAGGGGGCATCATGGCATGGACAGGGCCAAAGTCACACCTCCAAACTACTTGCTGGCGCAGATGGATACATGAGAGCAGGTGTGATGTTGTTGAGACCATTGACTAAGCCCTCAATGCCGTTCAATGATCCACCTTGTTCATGGTCCAAGACTCAAAAGGCAGCTCAGAAAGTCTTCCACAAGAAGTCATCAACGCTTCTTTCGCCCAATACAGCGCTCATGGCTTCTTGGCATGTACTTACCAACTCTTTGAACCCGAATGGCTGCAACTTGTGTTCGTTGGCCTTGTAACGATCGGCGGCTTGAAGGATGGCATCCAAGAAGCAAAGACAGTTTCGTCCACGCTCTCCACCATCGTGGGTCTTGTCGCTTATGATGGAGATGATTTGCACACAACTCATGTAGATCTGGAAGAAGTTGACCCTTGCGATTGGAAAGGGACCGGCAAAATCTGGAAGAGTTGCTTCCTCGAGATGAGAAAATCGATGCGGGCATGACATGGACGTGTATTCCTGTGTCGGGTGGTTGTGCGCGCATGTATGCATCTCATGATCTATCTCACACGTGCCAGGACGGGCGGGAGCGTGGATACGATTCCAGAGACTTTCATTGACATGGTAGCCTTTCTCCTTGATGTGATAGAAGAGCGATATTTTGCAGTAGGCGAATCTTGTGTCGTTTGCCTCCTTTCGTAATCCCAATCCGGCAGTGGCTTTTGCGGTGTGAGCTGGGACGGCCATATGGTGAGAGCCAGACCTGTGGTCCGACCCATCAGATCTGAACTTCAATCTTCCACCCATATACCTGATGCAGCAAGCTTTGAAGTTTCGACTCGGCCGACCACCTGGAAACAGCACGTCATTGAATGTATTACGGAGCTGCTCGAGCAAAGGTATCGACCTGAAGCCGGTGAGCTCTCTCAGAGCATGATATACGTGGACGACAGATCCCACGTAATGCCGATAACTGAACAAGCGCAGGCCATAGTAGAACAGGGTCTCATGCATCTCGAGTATATGAGATCCGGAAACCCAAGGTGACTGGAAGTACAGATCAAAGCACTTCTCCTGGAGGAAGGTATTCAGGTCCAGTTCGAGGTTTCCCAAATGAAACGCCAGGGTTTGGGGGCATCGGCACGGCATACTGGAGTCTTCGAGTACGGTGTGTACGCTGTGTAGCGCTTCCTGTGCGAGCTTGAGTGCTTGCAACCGACAGCTTGGAGGTGCGCACACCCCTTGGCATGCCAACATGAAGCTCTTGTAGGCATCCAGGAGCATGCGAAGCCCAAAGGCGCAGCGAAGACCGTTGACATTGTTCTCCTCATGTGTGAGGAAGTATCCGATATCTGCATACAAGGGCGATCCCGCACGAACTATATCTGTCGGCAGGCATTTGGCTTGCACATGCTGTTTGATGTTATACAATATCATGCTCAGACACTTTTCGTCCGCTTCCCCCGAGTTCGGTCCTATTCGAAGAAGTATGTTTGAAGGCTTCGGTGTGCAGACCATCTCACTTCCATGCTTCGTCGATCCATGCTTCGTCGCTCGGATGCTATCCTTCAGGTGCAACAGCAGGTGCCACGACTGTTGCAAGTTTTCGATTGCTTGCGTCCCTGGATGTTCCGCGACGACCTTCACGTCGGTGGATCCCATTGGAGCGTCTTGCATTCCCATCAACTTCGCGCGCAATGCCCCAGGGTCGGAGCCATCGCATAAAAGATCAAGTCGCTGCTCAACGCTTTCGAACCTCGCAAAAGCAACATTCGTCATGAGAGCCGCCATCACCAGGGGGGTGTCACCCTTTCCGGCCTGCTCCCAGACCCCCTTTGTCGCAAGCAGTAGATCATCCATCTCCTGGAAAACATCGATCAGACTAGATGACGACGACAACGAAGGGAGATATACCTGTAGCTCCTTGCAGATCTCAAAGGCATCACCCAACGGGTCATCAATGAGTCGAGGGGTATCGTCAGTCCTTGGCAACGTAGCGACACCTTGTCTTGCACCTTCTCCATCACGATGATCGTTTGGCAGGTCATATCCGCAGTCACAGCAAGTGTCCGTCGTGCCAGGATTGAGGGCCGCAAATCGATTTTCCCAGACCGCTTGACTTTTCTGCCTACCCGTTCGCTTGCGGTCCTCCACGGGCTTGGCACAACATTCGTAGAGGTCGGTATAAATCTTGGTCAGGCTGCATCATCACCCCACGCCGGTCAGCAGTGCACAGGGAGCGAGACGTACCTACTCACCTTTCCGTAAAGAACTCGTGGTTGACGGTATCTTCAACGGTCACCTCGGGGCCACTTTTCGTCCTGAAGAAATTGCTGAGTTGTGTACGAGCGGCTATTACCTGGCGGAACTGAAAGTCAATGGAGTCTGGCATGACCACCGCCTTCTTTTGTACCACTTCCGCCAGGCCCAGCAGGTCCCTGATGGAGATGTTATGGAGACTTTTGATTTTGTTCGTGCCATGGCTCATCAACCAGGCAATTATTGCTCTCGTGTCTTGTTTGTACTGAACGTAGAGGTCGAAGAGGGAGGGAGGGATTCGTCCTCCGCTTGGAGGAGGTGGATGCGAGGTACCGAGCAGCATGTTCCCGTTCCCGCCGCTACTTGCATTTCATCTCCGAGATGCCCGTGTAATTGTGATACTGTATGCGGAAGATTGGTGGTTTCTTGGAGTGAGCGAAAGATTCAAGAGATTTACAATGTAAAAATTCGAAGGAGTGTTCCTTGATGCAAAGATGATGGTGATTAGCAGAAGAATGACAAATGCGCGGTTTGGAAGCTTGATCGGAAGTCGTATATGGCAAACAATTAGAGGACCTTGACAGCTTCTAGTCAACGGGTAAGCGTATCGTTGTCTTTGAGGACTTTCCGCCGAAGGAGTCCTCCAATGATGGTTTGAGGAAGTTATGGTTGGGTGATTGCGGGCTTATCTTCATGCATAAAGAAGTAAGATTACACAAGGTCCTCATTCGACTAGTGCGTTCTTGGCCAGTTCATGGATTATTCACCACGGTACACAATATATTGTAAGATTAACATCAAGGTCCTCAACTTAGCCTTGCCTGTCTATCATTGGGTCACTACCAATGTCCCCCCTCCCTCTCCCCCCACGATAATTCTCCTTCACCTTGATCCTCTGCATCCACAATTTTATACTCCCACCACTTCACTATTCCACCAAGGTATTCCAAACACCTCCTCATCTTACCACAACCATGTCTGCCACCGACTTTGGCACCGCAAACTTCAACTCTTCCAACGTCGACCTCGCAACAGCCGACCCCCGCGATGTCATCTGCGCCATCGCCGCCTCCGCCAACGAATACAACGGCCAGCTCGGCGCCCGCATATCAGCCCTCTTCGTCATCATGGCCGTTTCTACCTGCGCCACCTTCTTCCCCGTCATCGCCAAAAGAGTCCCACGACTCCACGTACCCCTCTACGTCTACCTCTTCGCCCGCTACTTCGGCGCCGGCGTCATCGTCGCCACGGCCTTTATCCATCTCTTGGACCCGGCATACGGCGAGATAGGGCCCAATACCTGTGTGGGTATGACGGGAGGTTGGGCGCAGTACTCGTGGTGTCCCGCCATCGTCCTCACCTCTGTCATGATGATCTTTCTACTGGACTTTGGAGCCGAGCGCTTCGTGGAGATCAAATACAACGTGCGCACGGAGCAGGACATCCAAGCCGCCGTCACGGGCGTCGAAGACGGGAACGAACCTAATGGTCCTCATGGCATACCAACAACGGACACGTCTCCCGCGAAAAACGATTACGAAAAAGGTTTCTCCGAGGAAATCGAATTCGGCGACACCGAAGCCGGCCGCCTCGCATTCAAGCAGCAGATCGCCGCCTTCCTGATCCTCGAATTCGGCGTCATATTCCACTCCGTGATCATCGGGCTGAACCTCGGCGTCGTCGGCTCCGAATTCAGCACCCTCTACGCCGTCCTCGTCTTCCATCAATCCTTCGAAGGTCTCGGCATCGGTGCGCGCATGTCCGCCATCCCCTTTAAACCTGGAGTATGGCTTCCGTGGATCCTGTGCTCCGCGTACGGCTTGACGACGCCCATCGCCATCGCCATCGGACTCGGGCTACGCACGACGTACAATCCGAATTCCTTCACGGCCAACGTTGTCAGTGGGGTGCTGGATTCGATGAGCGCAGGGATCTTGATCTACACGGGGCTCGTGGAGTTGTTGGCGAGGGATTTCCTGTTCAACCCGTTGCGGACGAGGGATGGTAAAAGGTTGGCATTTATGATGGGGACGACTTTCCTGGGAGCGGGCATCATGGCCCTGCTCGGGAAATGGGCTTGAGGTTGATGGACAGAGGGTATGGATTCGAGGGGGGGGTGGATTGGCTGTATTTTTGTTATCATGGAGGCTTTGTCGGAAGGTTTGAAGGGCGGAATAGAGGTTTTGTATTTAGCTTATCCTGTGTATAGCCGGTCTGGACTTTGACACATAACCTTGTTTACATTTCTTCCATCTTGGAGTCGCTGTGTAATCACTCAGTGGTGGATTAAGTGCCCTGATATCGAGCGCGACCGGACAGCCTTGGATTCCTTCACCTCGACGGATTTTCCGTGTTTCTTCGGATACTGTCGTGTTAACTGAGCCCCTCATCAAAGCCAGGTATTCTACACTCGTATCCCCATAAATACCTACCTATCTACGCACAGCCACCCAAATTGTAGTGGGAATCCATCGGCCGGTCCTTTCACATAAGCGGATAACTCACCCGCTCCAACCATCCAAAAAAGCACTTCCCATGCCGCCGCACCTTTTCCATCCAGCTTCTCGGGGCCCTTTAGATCTTCTGAGTAAGATCACAACGCCCGACGTTCTTTCAGAATATACATGGATACATATAACTCTATTTGCCTCCGTTGACCTCCTTGGAAAGAAGCATGCTAGATACTGTACATCCGAGTTTGAGGGTTGTACGCGTAAGGGTTCGGGATGTGTGTATAGATATATGTTGCAGAAATGGTGGGTGCGGTGATGGCTTTCATCGTCATATACGCCTTGTAGGTTTGTCTTGTGACAGGTAGGGT